GAGCACTGACAACGTACCGCTTCTTGTTCCTGTGCTGTTCAGCTATCTGCTCCTGCAGCTCCTGTCTGTAGCGCTCCTTCCTCCTCTGTAAGGAATCTTCTGTATCGGCTGTTCCTGAAAACATAGGACTCCAATTAAAAACAGCAGTGTATTTTGAGTACTGTGAATATGTCATGCCATTAAAAAGGTTTGGTAATCCATAACTGTAGAAAAGTAAACAGTCATCAGTCTTTGATACAAACTGTCTAGTTGCAAAATGCAAAACATCCTTTAACCTATTATGAGGCCAGTGGCAAACTCAGCATCCTCATTTTTGGTCAGTGCTCTTCTTCTGCCTTCTCCGGCAACACCTCCTAGATTCTCCCTATTCTCCCTGGATAACAGACAAGTGATAGATTAGGACAAACAAGTATGCAATTTCATAACATGCTTTTAATATACACACAAACAATGGAAAATGTGCTCTCACCTGCCATCAGTCTTATTGGATCGTCTCTTCTCATAACTGGCTTCAACCCCTGTATGTCTGTGCCTTCTGCCTTCCATCAGCTCCAGCTCCTTGAAGTATTCCTCCTCTTCCTCTGACTCCTGGTCCACTGGCCTCCCCAGCCTGTCACGATGCCTGGGAAGTACCGACGACGGCTCCTCGTCCTCAGGGTACAGGGTCCTGACTTCAGCGAGACGCAAAGGCCTGTGCAGCGCCCGGCTGTCCTCTGTTAGAGTGGCTGCATCCCTGCGTGAGGCGGGTCGCTGTTTGGGAAGAAAATCTGCCTGGTCTTCAAGCAGGTGCTGGTCAAGGAAACATGATAGTAAAAGAAAATGTTCATAAAAAAAAAAAATGAATTATCATGTTCAGGCAAAGACATAATCATTAAGTCATTAAAGAGAGACATTTACCTTAACAGACCTCCTGTTATCAAGGTGAATTAATGGTCCAGGCTCTGCAAAGTGTTTTTTCTGTAACATAAAACATTACTTTCATCATTCCAAAATTGTGTTTGACTCCTACACACAAACCAGGGTTAATCTGAGGACAAAGCTAAAGCTGAAAGAAGCTAATAGCTGGGCCCCAACCCAAAGAATGGATCCTCAAATGTTCCCACCTGTATATTATTAGTGTAAACAATACCCAATTTTACAGTGCAATTTGTGATATTGAGTACACTCAGTATACCAGGTTAATGGTAACTATGATATACTTATGTTAGATTGTTTTCCATAACATTTTGTGATTAACATATCTAGAACAAGTGGAGTTCCATAACCGATTCCCACTTGTAGTCAATGCCTGGTAAACACAACTTGGTCATGTGATATTTCCAGACTGTACACGTTGCTTGGGATACAGAGAGCTGCAAAGGATACACCATCTGTGTCCTAAAATAATGACAAAGGGCCGCTGCATCTCATGACCTCATTTGGAGGGGCCTTTGAAAGGAGACCAGCACTGTTGGTCTAATACAACATGTTCAGTCTACAAATGCTTCTCCAGCCCCAGATCACAGCTCGTGTGTGTGCATTTTAGTAATGGACTGCGAACGCCACACACAGCTCTAACAGTCAGTGTTTTCAGTGGATCTCTGGAGAAGTGGTGTCTACCTTAGCCTTAGTAAAACTAGAACAATGTCTGAACTGACCTTGTCATCTCCTACAGCCAAACACATGAGTAAACAGCTACGTCTGTGACAGTCACCTGAGCCATGTAGCGCCTGTAGTCCATGCGGAGCTCATGCTGCAGCCTCTGTTTCTTCCTCTCATACTCTACACCAAGCGGTAGACCCACGCTGCAACTCTCCTCTGTCAAAACACGGTCATCAATTTTTAAATAGGAGACACAAGGTGAAGAGTTTCATGCCAAAACAAGTCAAGTTCCACTTTAAAGAAAGAACATCTACCCCCCCGACACACATTGCTCATATTACGAACAGCCTTATCACATAAAACACATAAAAAAATAAGAGTTATAAAAGGAAGAAAATGTGGTAGTGTACCTTTCCCATGTGTTACAGACTTGGGAGGGATGTTCTCCTTAACAGTGGACCCATAGGCTCTGTAGGGCTTTGTCTGTCAAAAACAGAGTAATGTTCTGCATTAAAAATTACACACACACACACACACACACACACACACACACACAGACAAGGATCACTGAAAAGTCTTAAAAGGATTTTAAAGGGTCCTTTATAGGATGTCATCCACTTATGTCCCCAGAAACTGAAGAATAAGTGATGCTTATTCATTCATATGCATCAGAATTTAACAACATAATAAGTAGTAACTTATCCAGAACTGACTCTGAACCAGTAACCTCAACCACCACCATTCAAACACACCTTTATTTCCATGTACGGAGGGTCTTGCTCTAAACTGGCCTTATCCTCAGCCACTCTCGCCTTCCGCTCCCTGATGAAGTTCTCCAGCTCTTCGTCCATCTCCTCTTGGCAAAGTCACACAACCAAACTGAGAACACATAAATTCCCACGATTTCACAACTGCATAGAGGGAGCTTAATTTTAAAAAAAAAAAAAAAAAAACAGTAACATGATGATAGGACTCCAGGTTGCAAAACTTTTAATTAAAGACGTTAAGAAGAAACATTAAATCTGCCTAATTACCCCTCAGACTACAGCAGGGGGTTTTTACCAATACTTAATCAGCTCCTCCTCTCTGGTTTAATGACTACTAATCACCTATATCCCTTGATAACTGTATATATATATATATATATCGATTAATCCACAACGTTACTGTCTCTTTAAATCCCCGTTGTCAGGCAACCACAACGAACACGATAGCGTCACCTTACGGACAGCTTAACTGTGTTAGCTTAGCGACTACGATAATGCAAATACTATGAGTATGACAAACAATGATAAGATTTACACGTAACGTGGGACGATGAGTGTTTAGTTAGTTTAAAGCAGCGTGTGTCTTACATCGCTAGCTCTAACTAAAAGGAAAAAGGTAAACCCACAATAAAAACAATAAGAGTGAAAGCTAACCTTAGCTGATGACTAGCTCCTCGCCCTGGTTAGCGTTAGCTTTCCAAAGGTAACTATCAGTATTAATGTGGTTTGCATGACGACCTACCATCGAGCGGTGTTGGAGGGTGACGATACCGGATAAGGCAATGTTTGTTAACTTGAAAATGTTGGCGGCGCTTTGGTTTTCTTCTTCGAGCCCAATATTACAGACTGTCAATCCGCTACTGCGTTATAAAGCTGCGCGACTTCCGGTGTCAAGTGTCAAAATAAAACCCCGTTAGAGGAAACTTAAGTGTTGCCCTGTGGCCGCAGTTGGGACACTGTTATTATAACTCTGTCTGAAGCTGGAAGTCTTTGTTAAAAGGTCCCAAGCACCGTGCACACCTACATATATATAGTTTCGTCGCATTTATCTTTTGATCTTCGCATCTAATGTTTCTTATGTGTGGCTTATTGAAGAATCATATTCACTGTGGCATTATATCGGGCCACATACCGTCTGAAACTCATCATGTGGTAACTTACACTAGGCTTGCAGTGGCCCCATTGCTGTGTGTCAGTTATTTAATACTTGATCATTAAAGCTGCAGAGTTAAGACCGCAGCGTACTACTGAGTACAAACATTTGTAGACAAGGATGTGATTTCAACTGGAGATGGGGGGAGATGTCCCTTTCACCTTTTGAAATCCTTATTTTATCCCCTGTGATCTTAGAACAGCTCATTATCACGACCCACACTTGCAACAAATAAATAAGTGTTGTAAAAAACATGGGCCAGTGGCCAACCAACACTTACTTTGGTTATTCGTGCTGAAGGTATTGGTTATTGTCCGTACCACCATCCATCAAATAATGAGCAGGCATACTGAGTCACTTATTGAGTTGTGAAACTCTGCCGCTATCAGCAATTTCCATTTTGAAAACATGAATATATCTGTCACTCGATAGGTCCTTCCAGTCAAACAATAAAGTTTACCCTCTCTTTTGTTTGCTACTACAGTATTGCATTTCTCATATTCTTTCCAAGCTGGTGTAACTCCAATATGATTCCTTGATACACTTGGCTAACATGGTTGCAGTCTCCTACATGGTGGAATCATTTATTACTTATTTTCCCATTGTTGTTTCTTTTTAAAAACATAAAACATAAATTATATTGTAATACATCTACCCATGCCGTGCATACTGTATGTACTGTATCTACAGTAGACTGTCATATCCACCTACCCCCATTTGCACTCTGCACTCCATTGCCATTGTCTACTGTCTACAAAAGTTTGTTTAAAGATATGTTTAACTGTACATATAAGTCTGTCTTTTTTTGTTGAACTTGTTCTATTTATTTATGCCGTTAGTCTGTGTTTGTTCGTTGGGAGCAACATAAAATCGCAGTAAAAAATAAACAACCAGGACACAATTTGAGAGCCACTCAGTTACATTTGCAAAATCACACCATTATTTGAAAATCAGAAATATATAAGGTGCATGTCCACAGTTGCTTAATGCAATTTTCCCCAGGATCATACAGAGAATTTCTGTACAGCCCAATCTTCCTACAATTATATCTAATGCTTTTATGTTGAAGGCAATGCAATACACTTCCTGTGTTCTGACTTTGTCTTGCTTGACGTGAGTCGGCTCAGCTGCGTTCAAGTCCCCCCCCCCATGAGGGTCAACCCACCCTGCAGGGAACACATGTTGCATTCATGTACTTGGAAAAAGCTGTTTAAGTCTAGAAACCTTTTGCAACCACACTATTCTGTTATTTAGGGGGAAAGAAAAGGTGCCTCAACCACTTCCAGATGCAGTTTTTTTTTTTATGTAAAGAATAGATTTTACCTTTTTTAAGTCCAGCTTGACTAGATTTTATGCTATTAAGTGTTTTTTAGGCTTCAGGACACTGTATCAGTGGACAATCTGTGTCAGTCATTTTCATATTCATATTACTTGTGATTGTTATTCTAGTAAACCTTGTAGTTTCATCGACCAATTTAAGAAATAAAAAAATCCACATCAACTTTTTGTTTGCAATTTATTGCTTATATAAACGTTCTCTAAACAATTTTTGGTAAAAATAAAATCTATCAATAATAATCATAAATAAAATCATCACAATGACTTTTACATGACATTATATTGCACAATTATAAGCCTTAACAAGAATCACAGAACACAAGTGTTGTTGCTCAGGTTGTGTGTAGGAGGAATGTTCAGAGGTCCGACAGACACACACTGGCTGCCTTCAGAGGGCAACAGAAAATCTGAACTTCAACTGTCTTTGATGCATTTAATTGAGGTCTTTAGATTACAAATTCACGACCATACGATCAAGTTGATGACTTTCATGAATTACTATTCCTTGTAATCTATAGACCGCCTTGATTTTATCTCAGCTTGTTGTGGTACAGACCTGTTTCAGTGCTATTTAAATAAGAAAAAAAACTGCATACGTGGGTCACATGATGTCAAAAATACTATTTGTTCTTGTGTGAATGTGGACTTTCAAGTACAAATGTGATCTGCCTAGTTAGACTGCTGCCTAAATAGGAAGAAGTCAGAGTCTTTGTGGTTTCTCCCCATTCAGACAGACAAGTTGAGATCTGTACCACAACAAATCAAACGTCGGCCCCTTTCAGCCTGCTGTCAGTGCAGCTTTTCATCATTTCACAGCAAAGTTCTAGTAACAGAATCAGCATGTGTCTCAGTTCTGACCAACACAGCTGCTTTCCATCTGAGGTTTAACCAAACGGCCATCTCCCTGTCTAGCTTGGCAGTTTATGATTGGTCAGCTACAGTGAGGCCAAAACAGATCCAAAGACTGTGTGTGTTTAAGTGATATGAGTGTGTGTTCAGATGTTGTCCACCTCTGCGCTGAGTTCAGGGCACACTTCCTTCAGTAACATTTCCATCAATACCTAAAGGAGACAGTGAGACAAAATAATAATGTTTGCAGCTGTAGTTAAATATGACATCATTAGATCCTATCAAAGTGAAAACAGACAACTTTTCATTATTCTTACATAAAGAAGATGTTTGTTGGCACTAGCCTCCTGCAGGGCATTGAAGATCTTGATGATTCCATATCGGGCATTCTGCTGGCCAACTAGATTTGCTAGTGCATCTGATAGAAAGAATCAGGTTGAAACAAAGCAAAGAATTCAGACGATCCACATATCAGATACCGGAAATATCTACATGTCATATTTAGATGTGTTTCAGTTGCTACCTGGGATATTGTCAAGTAGTTTCTGCTGAGCCCGTTCTTTAGTTTCACTGCGTTCGCTGTCAGTTCGGACCTTGACATGTGGTGCCAACTTCCCATTGGGCCAGAAGTTGTCCCTGAACACACTGATGTAACACACCAACATCTGTTCACAGAAGATCCAGTTTACTGTGTCCCGGATCTGTCTGAAATTAAGCACAGAAGATGTTAGCCTCATAGACTCTAACCTAAGTTACAATCTAGCATTATAGAACAGGTTAATAAAACACAACAACACTGTTGATTAAAATGTCAACTTGCTACAACTTACTTGTTGATAGTTCGTCCAAATGTCACCTGGACTAGTGCAATTAGAGTCTTCCTCACCCACTTAAACACTGAGCACACAGACAGAGAATGAAGATTTAGATCGGTTAAATTCACTCAGATGCAGATAGAATCTGTCTCTTTCATGTCTGACTTGCACTACTCACTTCCTCTGAGTTCAAAGATCTCTCCTATGAGCATGAAGCAGGGTTCAGCCAGGGCGTCTCTCCTCCCATCAGCCTCATCACCGTAGTCTGACAAGTCGCTGTCATCTTCAGCCTCCTCCTGTTGACAGCAATTACACACAGCGCACACACTCTGAATGAGGATGCAAGGCACCTCGAGTGTTGGCACAGTCCACTTTGAGTTTACTTTTACTTTAGCAGCATGGATGAATGTTTACCTCAGTATGAGAGAAGAAATCTCCAGGTAGCCTCTCCAGGAAGGAGGCCAGAGAGAAAGACGATTTCTTCTGGATTGACATCACCTTCAGACATTAAACAAGATATCATTACTAAACAATATACTGTGGAAGCATACAAACACTCTGTTGGTCTGATGCAGTAGAGTGTGTAATAACATTTTAATGAATATGACTGTGTACATATTTTACAGTTTCACTTAGCTGCTGCTTTACACGCAGGTACTTTTCATCATTCTAGTTGAATTAATTCACAACTAAAACTGACCTGAATGAACAAACAAACCTCCTTATTGCAGTTGTTCATTGTTCAATGAATATAAGCTAAATCAACAAATCATGTGTGGTGGCTTTGAGACAAAAGGAAGACACGTTTCTATATTACACATGTGACAATAACATATTTTAGCCCGGTCTTATTGGAAATGCAAGTATGAGGAATTGATTACCTTGAGGTGCTCTGGGGACGGGCTGAGGAACGCATAGAGAGCCTCTGACTGGCACAACCGCTCATCTGTCAGCATACGCTACAAAAGACACACACACACACACACACACACACACACACACACACACACACACACACACACACACACACACACACACACACAGCTAAAGTCATTAACATTATCTAGCTGTTATCATAAACTAGAAGTGTGAGCATAGAGCTGGGTGTTGCGGTAAGAGATCTATTTCAATCACTTTATCCAATACTAGCCATTTCAAAACATTTTTCCCAATATGATTAGTTATTTCCACCATGTTTCCAGAACGAATTTCAAAAATATTATTTTAGCTAAGTATTTTAACCATTGATTGACCCTGAATATCTGCTCTGATGTATTTAAATTTGTGTTGCTTTATGTTAAAGTAAAGAGAGTTAAGAGAAACTTTTAGGTCTTACTATTACAGCAGGAGCACAGAAGTTATCCTCTTGTCAAGTTAGCAGTGATATGAGTGTGCTTTACAGAATGCACTGGTCGCATGTTTACCTGGAGAAAGGCATTGAGCTGAGTTTTGCTCTTGTCTAAAAATTTCTGGTCGATGGATTTGAAGGGAAGTTTACTGAGGGATGGTAACTGGAGTTTCTTCAACGATGGAAAACACTGAGAAAGACAGACACAGAGAGACTTTAATGGGAGAAATATACCACATTACTGCCAAAACAAAGGTATTTTATATTGCATTTCCATATGGTTTCCTTCATTCTCTATAATATAGTATAGTGTATTAACAGATATACAAAATATGTACTGACTTCAACACTCTCCAAATCTCACTGCCATCAGATTTAATCTACACCAGTCTTTCTACTAAAGTGCTGTATAGGGTGTTTGTTCCCCAGTGCTGCAGTCACATACAATTTCCTCTAATGTGTGGGGGGGGGGGACATTTCTCTAGTGGTAATACAGTATAACCCTTACACACAGTGATAACTGTTTCTGCTGTTCAGAAAGAAAACATCCAACATCAGCACACATTGTGTACCTCTGTGAGTTTGCGGTGCAACATCTGGAATTCAGTGAGTTTCCTCTGCACACTCCAGCGACTGTTGGCCGACTCCTCTCCTTCTACCAGGCTAACACACACACTGTAACAAGCTACTGTCTCGCCACCTTCCTCTGTAGCCTGAAACACACACACACACACACACACACATACACACACACACAGACACACAGACACAGTTTAACACACAAATGACGACATAATTAACACCAGTTTCATACACCAGATATATTGGCAACAACCATAGCTGGGTAATGCCTGCCTCATCAGGTGTAGCAAGGTTAGGTGGTATTAAATTGGCATGTATCTGTTTTATCTGTTCCTTTTCTCCACTTTATACTGACTTGATATTTTCCTGCTACATGTGTTTGTTAGCAAGTCACATGCTAGTTGATGTTGATGTTGATGCCAAGTGGAAAGGAGGGTCATCAGAGCAATCCGGTGCTCTCGGTTGTCTACTGGAAATCAGCCAGTTAGCTAGTATAATTCTTCAGCATTAAGAGAATCAGCTGTTTGTTGTTTCTGATCAAAGAAAAAACAGCAAAAAAATAAAATAAAATACCTCGGCAGTAGTAATAACAGCCCTCCAGTGCCCCAGGTTTTCACACCACCAGTCAGTCCTGGTGATATGCTGTTGGAGTTCACTGTGTTCTCTCTCCATGGTGCCTATCTCTTCCTTTAGTTTGCTCACAATCTGCAAACACATGCAAGAGACACATTTTAACTGGCATGCAAATCGTAATTAAATGAAGAAATTACACTAAGATAAATCACATTTTATGGTGGTTTTCAGTTCAGGTTCAGGCTTTTAAACCTCATTAAAAAAGAAAAAGTTGTTGTGAGTGTTGTGGATATTTTTTCACATTACTGAGATTCAAAAACACAAAGTATACAGATGCACAAGAACAGTGTGAGCTTTAAAGCAGTCAGAGCTGCTGTAATTCTGATCTTATGTTTGTGTGTTTTATGCCAGGGGTTCTCAGCCTTTTGTAACTCAAGGCCCACTTCTGATTGTTAAAGTATTTCCGAGGACCACCTTCCCAGAACAAACAAACGGGCTATGACAGGATTTCATCACACAACACCACAACACTTTGTGCTTTCAGCTCAGCATCACAGCCTGCCAGTATGAATCCAGATTTAAAATATTCAGGGTCATATTTCCTCACCAAACGCTTTGGAGCTTTTACTGGTGGAGTAAATCTGATCCATTTTGTGTCACTACATCCAAGGGAACGGTTAGCTAGCTAACAGTGACAAAACATGTCCATACGTCATATGTGATACATGATATTCAAATGTAACTGGTCATTAAAGTTATGCATATTAATCTAACATATGACAGTGCCAGTCATATGTCAGATTAAAACTAAGTACACTTAAGATATAAAATAACTACTTAACATATAAAAAAAATCGAACCACTTGGCAGTACCACTGTAGTCCCACTAGAAGATAGCTGGCTGTTTTATGTTCTCCTGCTGTGAACTTTCAGAGTGAATTCTGATTTGATGCCAGGGTGTGTTTTGTCAATTGTTTGTATTTTGTTACCTTTTTGTCTGGTTTAGGTGCATTCTGGATAGAGCCCAGGGCCTGTCGCTTGTACTCAAGTTTGTCAAAGAGTTGGCGGAGTTTCGTAGCAGCATAGCTGGCCTGCTCATTGATTCCCTTGCTGCCTTCATCACACACGTCCCCTCCTGCGTCTAGACCCTGACACTACATGATTTTAAAAAAAAAAAAAACATACATATCTATTAGAATATGCAATAATACAGCACAGACTTACAAATGATACATCTTAACCGATTAATATTTTTACAACATTGTGTATGACTGACCCCTTCCTCCTTTTCCTCAGTGCTACACTGTGATTGGCTATGCTGCTCGTCTCGTCTGATCAGCCTATCGTAGAGGTCAGAAACCAGAAAGGAGGGGTAGTAGCGCTCTCTCATCGTCTCAGCCACCTAGAGGACGTAAAACAGCAACAGAAAGGCTTTATTGTCATTGCAGAACACTTTGACACTGTGGAATGTAAGCATACCATTGTTATTTGCACCTCTGAAGGCATTTAATAAAGAAAATTCCACTGTGGCTGCAGTTAGTTAGAGTTACCTGTTCCTGTAGTCTGACAAAGACTTGTGTTCCTCTGTTCCCCACCAGACTCTGCTGGATCTCCTTAAGGAGAATCTTTTCCACTGGAATCTCCCTGCTCTCCACAAAGAACTTCTGGTAGATTTCCCCTACGATTTGGGGCACCTCATTCTGTCAAACACACACACACACCCACAAAAGTTACTCATGTACTTTTCCACCACATAAATGTGCTTTACTATACCCCTGATGTCACGGTACACAAATATCCACTTTTCACTGGCGTTCACTACTGAGAGTGCAAACAGCTGACACAATGTGTATTCTCACGTGAAGGAACAACAGCAGCAATACTTGCAATGTTGTATGAAAACAACACCCACACTCAGCACTGCAGCACACTACTTGAGTAGTAGGAAAACGTTATCACCCATTATTATATCACTATTCCCCTAATACCATACACTATTAGCAGTGTTGGGCTAAGCCCTGTGGTATGTGTGTGCACGTCACCTTGTTCGCAGTTTTCAGAGTTTCCACCAGTTCCCAGAAGCTTATCAGAGCTCTCTTATCAACTCTTTCCATGTAAACTCTGAAATGGTCCCTGTAACCTGGATTACACATGATGTCATCAAACTGAAGAATCTGAACGAGGGGAGGAGAGAGAGAATAACAAAACATCAGCCATGTGGAGCATGCGCTAATAATAAAGTCATACCATGCAAGAAATATACAATTCAAACTTTCTATATCAGACATAATATTCTAAACAATATTCTGATTTTCAATCATTTGGCAAGTTGTTCTTTTTTTTAAGACCACATCAGTTGTATCACAGTGCACATTATATGAGTCTTACCTTCTGACTTTGAGGCTCATCAGTCTCATCTGCCCCTCCTTCCTCATTATTCTCATAGTTTGGTCCTCCAAGTAGGCGGATCCGTTTCTCACATTGTTTCTTAGCAACAGTTAACTGATTGATATATCTTTTCATATCTCTGGCCCTGAGCAGGTCTGCCTTCATTGCTGCTGACTCTTTACCTTTACGCTCTACGACAGAGAGAAAGCAGGTGGTGAAAGAAAGGCGTGAGCCAGCTTTGGTCACACAATAGCACAATCACCTGGTCTGGAGCTACTGTATCATCAGGATAAATGATAAACATTCATAACCTTGTGTTACAAACAGGAACTGTAGCATAGTGGCTACTGAAAGTAAAGTTCCATACATATAGTAATCAGTCTAGTTTGGCTATGGTGTCAAATTCAGCTCACTGCATAAAGGGGAAAAAAAACATACTAAAACAAAACTTTTATAAACGACTGAAATATGTACAAAATTCTGTAAAGTTGATACCCAGAAAATGAGTAAGCAGAAAAGGTAATACTGTCATTGAAAAGAATTTGTGAACAAGAAACAAGAACAATGTGGCCATGGGTAATGTCTTGAATGAAATTATCTTGGCTCTATTAATACATCTATGTAGAAAAACTCATTTTCACTCTTGTTTTTGTTGATGTTGTTGTCTAAGTGCAGCCTCATTGAACTGCTAGCAATGCTGTAGATTCTTAAACTGAGCATATACTGTTGACATGCTTTCACACAACTGAAGCAGTACTACTAACTTGTTTCCACAAAGTCTGTACCTTTTTTCTTACTGTGCATGCAGTGGCAAACCACAACGCTTAAATTCCAACATTTTTTTTTGTGCGTCTATTTTTGGACCTTGCTGTCATATGGTGAACTACAGTGCCCCTGTACCTTTCTGCTTCTTGAGCTGAGGCAGGCTGCTGATGGTGGTGGCATGAATAATCTCTACCACAATCTGATACCTACAAAGAGAGATAAAGAAGTTCATTTTCAATCAGTTGTTGGGATTAATCAATGAAATGTAAAACGGGCTGTTTTAGGATGAATAAACATCAAAATATTTTACACACACACACGTAATTTAAAGCCAGTAGACATATAGTGCAGTATGTAAACCTGGATGTAACTTAGTCTACCTTTACACAATTGATCAAATGTACCAGCAACATGTTAGTGTTAGTCAGAGCCATTATTTCTCAAGCTAACAAGACAATATAGCAGTATCATGTCTACCCCACATTTAGATCTAATATTTTGCTGCAGAGACAATGTCTGTTCCCATGGTAACCCCACAGCAGCAAACAGACTGGTGGTTAACATGTTTGTGTGTGTATATATATATATCCAGTATGGATCATTAAAAGAAGTCTGTGTAAGTACAGGGCAGTCTCAGTGTAACAAGGCAGTGCAGGTGTATAGGTCTGTGTGTGTGTGTGTGTGTGTGTGTGTGTGTGTGTGTGTGTGTGTGTGTGTGTGTGTGTGTGTGTGTGGTGTCATGCCTGAGTTGTGTGAGGAAATTGACATCTGCAGAAGTTGATATCAGTTTGATGAATTCCTCATAGGAGGCAGCGTAGGTGTAGGCTTTCTTCTGCTGCTCAGCCTGCTGCTCCCTCTGCTCCAGCTGAGATAACAGCATCCTGTTTATGGAGTCTGGATCGCTCAGCACTTCTACTAAAGGCTTCAACACTGGAGCACACAGACACATAACAACACAAAGATATAAAGGCATTAATTGGAGAAATGGAGAAATTGAGGGAATGCTGTTAATTGAGTCTTAATCAATGACCACTTCTATGAAAAGCTGCTAAGTTACATTGTGAAAAAGTATACAGTACATAGACATACAATATATACAGGGAGGCTTTCAAGAGGCAAAACACTTAAAAATATGCAGCTGCAAGCATTATGATGTTATCCATGTCCATTTTTACATTATACATCATTGTTTACAGTTAAATGGTAACAATAGACTTTTTTCACAGCAGACATTTTCACTAGCAGGTGCAACTATTAACATTAACAATGGCTCTATTCCATTTCAGTGTCCAAACAAAGTCATGACCAAAGGCAAGCATGAACAGTACCATGGTCTTGTAACGGGAACACCTGAATGTAATGCAGCCATTATTAATGTTACTAATTACATGCTTCTACTGCTGTTTTATCAAAATGTCTGGCGTGAAAAAGGTTTACTAACTTGTAATTCAGGATGGTCCTGAGCAAAATTTGATTGATTTCAAATCAAGTGCAGTCCATTTCTTTATTTTTCCACCATGGTCTTTTGTGCCCTTAAGTTCTGATGACTATAGTGGGGTCGAAAACAAAAGATAACCTGGTTTCAGAGTTTGTGTTCACCAGCTGGCCCAAATACAGGTACAGTATTGTGTCATATACAGTACTTGTACACACTCACAGTACCTTTAGTAGTGATGACTTCTGTGAGGCAGCAGCGTAGTGTATGTGACTTGGCGTCCTTTTGTGGGAGCAGACATAGCAGCAGTATTCTGGCCACACAGCGGAGGAAGGCCAGCTCCGAGTCGGGACTGACCAAACAGGGATGGAGAGGAAACGGCCGAGCACACTCCTCTGGTCTGGAGACACACACGCAGATTAAGATTGAGATATAAACAGAAAGGGACAGAGTGAATTTGAATTGTTATTCTGGCAGAGCTGGATGTCTGATGATATTATATGAGATATGATAACTTCATTGGCATAGCTAACACGGCCACTGTTATTCATACAGCTGTGTCGCAACTCACTGTCTCTGCTTCTAAAACTTGACTGAACAAGACACATTGCTGCTACATTGTTCCTTAACTATTGAAGACGAGGGAGGCCAGACATCTCTGTATGTGATCAAATCATAAGTCTCGCCCGACTTGCCAGGATAATGAAACTAGGCGATGTGTGAATCATCACTCTGTCTGTAAGCGCACCTGGCAGATGCTGTCTGGAGACAAAGGAAGTGAGTGTGGAGGATTTTAATGTTATTTACGCTGCACTGAACTGCCATAATTTCACCCTATCTGCGTACACAAAATTATGGTGGCAGCAGGTTAGCAGTCAGAAATAAGAGCTGAAACATATTTTTTCTGTGATTCAACAGTGAGTCCAAATGCTGTGCAGTGGAAGCTGTAATGTGAAGAACACATTCTTTTCCTGGCTTTCCCTTGTATCGTTTCTGGGTGATGAACACATACATGGTCCATTGTGCAACAATTGGGAGGCTCTATCTGCAGACATGTAATAAAATATGCATGACTATGTTTTCATATAATCACCTGAATGTAGAACTCGTTATGTTTTTGTTTAAATGAGCTGTTAGCTACAGACACTGCGGGTCACCTTCCATGGAGTCCGCCATGTTGACCCTCCATGTTTATACAGTAGTCCAGAAGGGACAAACCAAACTCTGGGTGTTATCGAGTTATCGTAGTCACCGTAGTTTGTCCTTCGCGCTCAGAAATGACAAAGTGTAGCAGAGTTGCGATCTGCAATAAACCATTAGATGCCACTAAATCCTACACACTGTGTAAATCCTACTTTAATTAAAGGTAATGCAACTGTAACTATTTATAATTGTGTGTGTACCTTGCAGATGCAGCCTTGAGGTCAGTGAAGTGTGTGTGAAGGATTCGGATGGTGTCATAACACACCACATTGACAAGGTCAATGTCAGCGAGCCTGGATCTCAATTGCCCAATCATCTGCCACCAGTCCTCCGACAGCATGGAGTACAACTGGCCCTCATCACGGCTCAAAGGGTTGTACCAGGACAGGATGTAGTCTCTGTAGGCATAGTCAAACACTGGGGATAGACAGAGAGAGAAGTGAAGTGTTTGCCAGAAGATAAATACTAAAGAGGCAGACAGCTGCAGGAAAGCGTTTTATAAAGCTGAACAGTTCCAGTACATTACAATTTGAATCTGTTGAAGAGAAAATACAATTTTAAAATATTTAAAGATGCAATCAGTAATAATTTACAATATTTGACTTGTCAATGTCAGTCCTTTAGATTACAAGCTTTCTAAGCAAGAGCAGCTGTCTTTCTCTGTAGATTGTCTAACCTCCCAGGCCCCCTAAGCTACCCACTGTGTTCAGTGCACTTTCATTTCCCCAAAACCCAGGTGAACACTGGTGCGGCACTTAAAAAGGTAGAGGAAGCATCATCCATCTATCCATTTTCTAAACGCACTTACCGTGTGCAGGGTCACGTAGGTTGGAGGCTATCCAAGCACACATTGTGCGGGAGATAGAGTACAAGACAAGGTGACAAGCAATTTAAAGTCATCAGTTCACCTGACCTGAATTTCAACCAAGACACCAGAGAACCCAGAGATAACCCATGCAAATACCTGCACAGCTCATGTAGAACACATGCAAACTCCACACAGACCACCACAGCTGGATGGTGGATTCACACCTAACCACTTGCTGTAAGGCAACACTGTTACATTTCTGTTTATGTAGAATTAAATACATACTGTAGATAAGTGCTTTCCAATCTGGGGGTCAGGATCCTTTAAAGAGGTCATAAGATGATTACCAGCGTCAAAATCGTGCTTACTTTTAAAATGTTTTTTTCAGTCTTTGTTCTTTTTTTTTGCAAAACACTGCATAGTTTTATCTCTTTAAACCTCTGAAAGTGATTAAAATGTAACAGTCTGAGAAGTCATTATTTGAATGAATTGCTTAAAACACACAGACATGCACATCCATGATAAGGGCTCATTAGTATACTGCTTTATATCAAGGGCACACAGGCAGAAAAAAATTTTGGGAACCACTGCTGTAGATGAACTTTTCAATGTGAGACCCAAGTTTGGACTTTGGTCACGGTAACATTTGGTAAGGTTGTGTGTACTATAATGTACAGCTTCAGGCTGTATCTCTCATTATGAGGTTGTAGTTTTCCACAGCTATGGGTTATGCATTAAAGAGGAAATTCAACTGTGGAATGTTAATTCACATTGATGCTGTAGTAGCAGCAAACTGACGTTACTAATTCAGATTTGCTTTGAAGGAAAAATGTGGTACTAAAGTAAAAGTCCACAAAACATGTGAATCAAATCAATCTTTCCTTTTTGATCTGCTTACTGAAGGAAACATATTTTAGCCTTTTAACTGTATACACTTTGAGTGATCTTAACTTCTTTTCTCTTTAACAACAGAGAAGACAGTGGTATCGCACATAACACTGGGGTTACACCAAGTCTAGGATGTTTTAATGGATGTGATCTGAGCTAAGACAGTCACATGTTTACACACTGTCAGTATGTACAGTGTGTCGACAATTTGCCACATAGCAGACGTACAACAGTCAGCTTTAGCAGGTATATTGGTGCCCTATTTTTAACCATACAAATAGGCTCTGCACGTTCTCCATTTGTCTGCATACAGTAGGTTTTATCTCTCCTGCTACAGTCCAAAGACAGGCAGGTTAGGTGAACTGGTGACTCTATCGCCTGTAGGTGAGAATGCATTTGTTTGTCTGTATGAGTTAGTCCTGTGATAGACTGCTGAATGTGTGTAGCCTCCAGCCACCGTGACCCTGAAAAGAATCAGTGGTTTAAAAATAAGATGGATAGATAAAGGATGAATGGAAAGGCTAGTACTTTGACAGTACTTATAGTGAAATCTTTACAACTGTAGATCATTTCTACTTCTCAATTTTCAATTCCAATAATTTTAGAATTTACTGAAATATCACCTATCAAATTAGATCATTATTAAGCTCCACTTTCTTTTACTTTGGGATCCAATTCTGCTTTGGTAAAGAAAGAATATTTTTTGTATTCATATATAACGATAAGTCACCCAGGTAGCTAATGACCTGCACTTGAGTGCTTGTTTAAATCCAAGAATTGAGCATCAACACAACACTGAAACAGAAACACTGTTCATCGAAATAAGTGACACAGCAGGTCTTGACTGTGTATCTAATAATGTCATCATAAACTGGTACCATGTGCAAATACACACCCTTGGTGTAAATCCTGGAGCCATCTGCTCCTTGGCAGCCGGACTGACTGTGCCTCTGTGTGTGTGTTTGTGTGTGTGTGTGTGTGTCTGTTAATGTTTTTATGACCAGGACGTTCTACTGTTGCAATCCACTATGAGTGGGAGGGATCACTGATAGGTCATGGTGACTGACAGAAACAGAGCTCCATCAGTCAGCAGTTTTCTCAAAAACAGAAGTTGCGAGTTTATCCAACAGTGTCGGACACACTGCAGCCAAGACACTCAGTGAAATGAAGACTCCAGTTTTCATTTCTAAATTGTAGAAAACAGTATTCTCTAAATTGGGTACTTTATAGTGAGGAGTAAGTTGAGATTTTGGACACGTAATTGTCATCGCTTTGCATCAACACTGTCAAATGTAGTGCTGCATAACTGTGATTTACACACGTGTTAAATTAAAGTGGCCTGTGCATCCTCGGGGGAATATGTGTACTATTTCTATTGATTTCATGTTTCTGCAATCTGAAACCTGTAGTTCTGATCAAAGACTTTACAATTGTATTTGCATTAATTTGGACATAAGAGGTTCATAAAACACTTTTACAAAGCTGTCTTAGGTAAAGCCGATCCATTACCTTCCTTCAGAGCTTTGTCCACGTTGTGTGACACCACCACCCTCTTGTTCTGGCTTGACTCCTGAACTGGCACCAAAAAACGGGCCTGAAAACAAATCAAATCACATCTCTTCACATTGCAGATAGGGACAGTAGCATAAAATCAGGAAATATTGGGCAACAACAGGAAGAGAAAATTGAGAGCTGTGTCTCTAATAAGCCAAATTCATCATGGCTCATATAACGTGTCGACCAGAAAAAAATTCTAGTGACAATGTTCCTCCACTGTCAACATCAATAAGTCATCAGTACACAGCATCAAACAAACCCAGCTGAAAGGCAGACGATGGGCTGCGGCTGCCTGTTAAGGAAAACCACCAGCGGGGTTGCAAGGACACAATCACTTTCCTTGAGGAATAAATCACCCTTGTATATGCGTGTGTGTGTGTGTGTGTGTGTGTGTGTGTGCGCGCGATTGCATGTGTATTTAAGTGTGTCTAAATCCAGCAGCATGACTCTGCCTCATTTATTATAGATCAACACAGCGAGGATCCGGGGGCGGGGAGGGAGAGAGAAGATGAGAGAGGGGAGAAAGATGCAGAGGAAATAATTGACAGGGAAGCAGTTGAGTGGAGCAAAAAGACAGGTCGAGACAGTTAGGGATGCAGAAGTGAAAAATACTAAACTGTCAGCTGATTTATTTATTATTTGAGGTTTGCGTGTACTCAAAGTCTGTTGGAGCAAAGGTTAGACGTGTCAGAGGTGGCGTTAGATAACAGTAGGATTTGGCCGTTTGATTTCTCTATCATTGAATTCAAGCAGTGGCCGAGAGCGTGTGCATCGAGTGTACAACATGTGAGTGAAGGTTTTCAAGTGGGAGACACCAGTTTCTTACCATGAGCTTGTTGAAGAAGTCCAGCCGCACAGCTGACTGCCTCCTGTTTCTGTCAAAGCAGCTGACTCTGAGAGGACTCTTCCTGACTAGCAGAACAAAGCTCCCAGCCAGAAAGCACAGCAGGGCGAATGACACATAGATGAACAACTTCAAGAAGAAAGATGTGAGAGTCAGGCCTCCCCAGGCCAGCTGAAACACTACTGCTGCCACCACGCCCAGGCAGAAAGCCGGGACGAACCGGAATGAGGAGCCGATAGAAGAGGTGGAGGTGGCAGACATGGGCCCCTCTTCCCCTCCGGTACTGCTACTCCCTCCAGCCTGTGGTGTAATGGTAGTTGAGGGGGTGGGCATACTGCGACCCCACCATCCATATATGTGTCACTACTAGTTAGGCGGAAAAGTTGGTCCTCTAGTCCACACGCCGAGTCAGAGAGGTACTGTGTACACTGGTGTATACCCTCGACTACAACACTGTCTCCAAGACGAGGCATTCCCGCTCTGACATCTCCTCACCGACCCACGCCGCTATGTTTTCCCCGCTCCTAGCATCGGCCCGCCCGGCGGACACAGGCACGGAGCCCCGGCAGCTTAGTCATCCACGACCCGATGCTCCAGACGACAGATCGGGGGGGAAGCCGGGGCTGGTCTCGGGAAAGGCGACAGGAGGTTGACAGTCGCCCGGGAAGCAGAGCAGAGAGAGAGAGAGAGAGAGAGAGAGAGAGACCCGGGGCGATGGGATGAACGTAGCAACATCCACCGTCACCTTGGAGACAAACGGGTGGAAGGGTAGCTTAGTGACTGTTGCTAACCAACTGGGCTAGCAGGAAACTAAACGAGGAAGACAACATTTAGTTACTGTTACCTGCTGCTTTTAAAACAAACAATAAGATACTGATATGTGGGTTTATTTATTTTTTTTTTTGAGGGGGGGGCTACTACAAAAAAAAAAAACCCCACCACAATAACGAGCTAACTTAGCTTCCTTGCTAAGTAACCAATTCAACCACAGCTAACGTTAGCTTAACTTACCTATCGTTTTAAAAAAAAAAACAACAACAACACTACATTCTCGTTTTGGCTCTCCTCGTAATGTTGAGTTAAACGTGTGACGGACGCAGCGACGACACAACGTGACCGCTCAAATATCCGCGACGGATAAAAACAAGTTAACTCTTATTTTTTCCTCCAGCTGACTGACAATCTCTCCGAACGCGAAAGGGTGTCAGCCAATCAGCGCCCGTGTTCACCGCGGACGTTGCGCACGTTTTATAGCATCAGGACAGTCCGAGTGGGCGGGGTGGGTTTTTTTTTAGCTTTTCACTCGATGCGGTGCGAGGAATACAACCATCCGGGCAGCGAGGGGTTGTAAATGAAGCACACGAGATAAAGGATCATACCTCGTTTCTCTGGCGAGTGGTTTTTTCTTTCATTGGTCTGAACTGCTGTCAGATATTATTAAAAACATTGTTTTTGTTCCTTTCGTGGTACAAAAAGCGTCTTGTATCTCGTGTAAATAGAAATAAATAAACACAAAAGCGTCGTGTAAATGCAAAATTATGTTTTTTCAGTAATGACAAATGATATTTCAGCTGTAAACACATACACATACTACTTTAGGTTGTATATTAATTATTTTTCTACTTTAAAAAAAGAGTTATTAAAGTTTAAATCTATCTCGTTACAGCCTTATAGGCAGTTTTTTCCCCTCCGTCTAGCTTCTTTTACAAATACCAAGCCTTTAAGGATTATAAATAGCCATTTCCCCTTGAACTGCCAGACAGTAATAGACACAATTTCTGTATTATTCTGACAGATAAATTAGATTTTTTACTTTAAGAGGCTCATGCAAGCATCGCCACCTGGTAGGTGGTGTTTATGTTAAATCCAACCTGATCTGAATGTAGCATTTTCTTTGTAATATAAATCAGGTCTTCAGGAAAGGAAATTAGACTATTTTTATAGTATGTTCAGTCAAAAACTAATTTTAAATGACAGTGATGCTTTCCTGCTAAATTATTTGAGCCTTACCCTACTGTATATAAGCTTTTATAAATGGTGACAAATGATAAGTAATACATAAAGTGGGCCATAGGTTACGGTCAAGGTATAGTTATCCTTGTAATCCTGTGTAATGTTTAAAGTTGGTCAGGTATTAAAGCTTCTCATGCAAGAATATGAAACAATTCAATGGACAAGAGGAAATGTTTCCGTGTTTTATTTGATGAATTATGGTTATAATGCAAATGTCAGAGACAGAGCTGGATGTATATTCACAAGTGCTGAGTTGTTAATATAATCTGTGAGTGTGAGATGAACTACTGAGTATACTGAAACACTCAAAGGAATCCCTTATATTCTTTTTTTTTCTTTGTCACATGTAACATCTTAAGAATGAACTCTATTGACGTGTACATTGCTTTTCAGTTCATTCAGTTGTTTGTGATATAAAGACAGTTTATGTTCATCTTCATTACATTTGGGCAAACTCCCAATACTGAGCTCAGCTTCTCCATTTATCACATATTTTTATTTTTAAAACACACACACACACACACACACACACACACATTTCCAGATCTTATTACAGCCATTTTCAATGACATGATAATGGCTCCTTTCACCGCCTTCTGTCCAACGTTTCTGCCTGTGTCTGGCACACACACTGACGCCCGATTTCCCTTTCCTCCACAAAAACAGACAGCTGTGTTTGCAGGCTGCTTCCCCTTGCAACATTTATGTCTCTAAAACAAGCCGTAGGTTTCACAAGTCCCCTATGTCACAAGTATGTCACGGTTTAAGATACTAAAGCCTTTAAAGATTCACTATATTGTTAAAGTGTACAGTTTCATTCATGACCATTTGGGTGATTTAATCTTTGGTTCATCTTGGCTATATTTACTTTACGCAGTTACTTCTATGCTCCATGCAGATACGATCTGATAGCACAGGAAGAATATTTGTTACCAGGTGTCAGTGGGGTTAATTAGTGCTTACGTGGGATTTGACATATGCTTCACACCAATTAATACATGTTTTCCAAGCTGTTTCTTCCCAAAATAGTCATGCCAGTAAGATCTAAAATCTGCTCATGTCTGATCTAGGAAGGTGGTCTGCGATAAACAGCATTGGCGTCGTCAATGGGATCGGTTTTGAAGTCGACGGGCCGCAGCTTCATGATGCTGGTCTTCAAGGAGTACCACCAGCCTCTCCAAGTGTACCAAACTACACCGTCATCTGTCAGCGCACTGTAGTGCCCGCTGGGGTAGTACATGCCATTGAGATGGGCTGAGTGACACCTGTAGACAGACAGAACGAAGAGGAAATTATATGTGCGTCATCTAGGGGAAGGGCAGATTCTCTTATCACGAAACCCGTACTTGTTGAACCACCAGCCGCCTTTGTCTTCCTGTGCACAGTTGCCTTTGTAGTTATCGTTGTCCTGGTCGTAGGTGCTGAATTTCATGGCCTGGTGACTGGCCCACTCTGACACGTCAACCTGATAACCTCCAGACAGAGCATCTCCAGCTGTACCAACATACGTCCCAAAGGTAAGTCGGTAGTGATCCTGCAGAGAGGAGTACAGTACAAGGAGAGCTGGTCACCGTGCATGAGCTTAGAAATGAAAGGGATACACATGCACTTTCTTGTGAAGTGTTGGATGAGAAAATCAATACCACTCTCGTGTGGTAAAGATTTTTTTTTAACTTTAGACAGAGCCAGACTAGCTGGTTCCATGTAAAGTATTTTTCATTTTAGGGGTTAGTTAGCACCTTTTCATTGGCCACTTTGAAGTTCTTGTACTCAGCATAGCGCTGGTTACCATCAAAGTCCTCCAGGTTGATCCTCAGAGAATAATTCCCTACAACAGACATGTATATATCAAAACAAGAAAAATGTTAGCAAAACAAGTTGTAAACAACATCGCTGAACAATAACTGACCATTAATATTAACTTGGGGTCACGTTTCTGGCCTCATAATTGTAAGTCCAATATTCATTATTCTCCTAGTTCTGTTTTTTTTTTTTCTTCCTGAAAACAACTTTCTGCTGTGGCTGGAAATGAGGCTGATGAAGGAGGTGAGATTTAGTATAAATGGTTTTTATAGGTAGTATTGACCTTGTGTGGTGATGTAATGCAGGTTGTCATTTCCGAGCCAAAATTCTGCATCCGTGTCTCCAAAACCATCCTTATACTCTGCCCACGACCTGATAGATAGATAGATAGATAGATAGATAGATAGATAGATAGATAGATAGATAGATAGATAGATAGATAGATAGATAGATAGATTGCATTGCTTTTCATATGATTTCATTACTTTACACTCATAGTTATCACATCACCAACACACCTGTTAAATTTCTCTGTTCCATTGATCCGTCTCTGAATCACGATCCAGCCGCCTCCGTCATTCATATCACAGTAGACTCTGACTGGCGAAGGGCTGCCGTGGGGTCTGATTCTGTAGAAACCGCTGGACTTGGAGCCAGAACTGAAGAAGCTGGGAGCAGTCTGACACACACACACACACACACAAATACATACTCAGTGTTTGGTGCATTATCTAGTTCCTGTTTCTGCAATATAACACCTGACACAAGATATTTTAAGGTTGGTTTTCAAATGTTGCTTTCCGGTCCTGAGGCTGTGGCCCTGACCTGCATACTGGGTGTCCTGGCTCTGGTCGGACATGGGTATGTCCTTGTTGTGATGTTGGTTCAGCAGTTGTAATCTGTGTAGGAGTTGTTCCTGTTTCTGAAGTTGGCCCTTCAGAAGGTTCTCCTGTTCTTGCAGACGAGCCACCTCCTCACTGCAACTGTCTGACGCCTACACACACATTTGGATTGCTATATTTGTGAGGATCTTCAGCTACATTCATTCTCTAATTCTGAGATAAAATATGCATAGAGTGGAACATATGCATTAAAGACAGATAGTAGTGTGGAAATAAACAGTATATATGTATATATATAGTTTCCTATATTTATTTCAATCAAATACTTATACAAGTACTCACTAATACTTTGCTTTATTCCAAGCAGAGGTGGATCCTTTAACATGATAAGTACAGGAAATGCAAAAAAGAAAGTATAAAAACTGACACTATGTCTCATTGATTACCTCACTGCATAGTTTAATTTTCATTTTTTTCATTTTAAGTTTCATAACACTAACTTAACCCTAGCTCTGTATTTAACCTTTGATTCAAGATCCAAACCTAGACATTTTTAAGAATATTTTACATTTTGGGAAATATTATTATTTGCTTCCATGCCCGAGAGTTAGATGAAAAGATTGATACCACTCTCCAGTAAATCTGAAGTTACAATCAGTAGCCAGTTAGCTTAGCATGAAAACAGGCAACAGAGTCAACAGCAGTTACAGGTTATGGGGTTTTGGTTTATAGCTTCAATCTTGTCCTCTAACTCTCAGCAAGATAGTGGACATCACCTAAGATGTTAAACTATTCCTTTAAAGAGACAACAACCAGACAAATTTTTCTCACTTTTAAAGTTTTGTAATTACTTTCAGTGTGCTGTTCACAAGTACAGAAATACAAAAGCACCCTCACAAACGTGAATAAATCACACCTATCATTGTCAGGATGTGGTCAACTATCCCTACTGCTGTTAAAACAGGAGGTGAATATTTAGAAATGGAGCTTGAAAAGTAACATCATTCTGTTCATCACGTTGACTGGAATCAGTCCTGCAACTTTAAAAAGACTAAATTCATAAAGTAAATGAATGTATCTCTCAGCCAACTCTTTTACTCAGAGTGCTGATTAGATCTTCCTCACTATTCACACATTTGTATGTAGTCAACAACAGTGACAGCCATACAAAAATAGTGCATGATAACACATTACCAAATATAAAAAGTACACACAAACACAAAAAATGAAGTTCTGATCAATGAAGATCTGTGAATTGAAATATTTCTGAATTGAGTGTAAAGCAGCCTGACTGATACTTACACGAGCTGTGATGATCATCAGTCCTGTGAACAGCAGCAGCTGACCTTCCATCATCTTGTTGTTTAGATAGCAGAAACCAAAAAGATACAGACGGACACTTCTACTTCTCAGAGTTTAGTTGAATCTAGTTGATTTTCACTGTGAGCTGGTTGAATTTTTAAAAATGTTACCCAACACCTGGATCCAAAGAAAGCTGTGTCCAAGCAGAATGAGAAAGTGTCGAAATACCTGATTCTCTCCAGTCATAAAATATACAAAATATGCTGGGAGTGTCTGGAACAGACTGGCCAAAAGTAGCCACACTTTCGGGAAAATCTCTTTTTTTCCCCCACAGAATAGACCAACAAAGAACATAACATAGAGGCATGGTGGTGTTATATTAGAAGAAAACAATGTGAAAATACAATAACCATATTCATATTACAAACATATGCATTTGATTAGAGAAGACGTTGGCAACAGTGCGTCATCAAGTGTTGCTCAACATCCCCAAAATCTCTCTCCTTTTGTCTGTGCTCTCCTACCCTCTCTTCTTCTCATCTCTCTCTTCTGTTCTCCACTTGCCAGCTCTTTGATTTTTCCATTTTTTTTGTTCATGGACACTTATCCAGCCAGTATTCACTCTGAGTGTCATTAAAAGGCTCGACTTGTCATTTTGTTGATGAGCAGTATTGTGCCATTTCAGCTAAATGCCACTGAAGGTCAGCTCTGAACAACGCGGGAAGAGGCAGAGCAGAGGGAGATGTTTTATCTTAAAGGATCACAAAGGAGCTTGATTGAATAATGTAACAGGCTGTTGCTGATTTCAAATGATTCAAATTAAGGAGAGATGTGAATTCTGGTGACAAGGTTTTTAATAGCCATGCCACATGGAGATATATGCTTAGTCTCCTTCTTGCTAAGAGTTAGTAGATGAGAAGACTGATACCACTTGAATCTCTGTACAGTTACTTAATATGCAGCTGCAGCCAGCAGCTTAGCTTAGCATAAAGACAAGCCACTGCTCTACTATCAAGACATTATCCTGCACATTGAACTACCTGTTGTTTTTACACGTGTTACATTTAGACAGTCAAGCTGCCTCCCGTTGTTTCCAGTCTTTGTGCTATGCTACGCTAACCAGCTGTTGGCAGCAGCTTTATTATTACCCAACAGACATGACAGATGATAAATAATAATACCAACATTATAATTTAATGCTCGTTAAGTATTTGAAGTTGTGTCTAACTATTCCTTTAAAAAAGTATTAAAACTATTCTCAATCTAGTTTTGTTGTTTGAATTATGTCAGGATAACATCCAAATTAATTAAAGGTCCAGTAGTATTGTAGATTTAGTGGCATCTAGCAGACTGCAACTCACTCGCTTCACCCTCCCATAAATAGTGCACAGTCACTATCAGACCACTATCAGACCCTGACCGTATTAATGAAAAAAACAAAACCATTTTGTTAAAGTGAACTTTTTATTGAGTGCCTTCAGCAGCCACCAGGTGGTGGCACTAGCTCCATACACAGCCATCTGACATTGTGTATTACAGTATGTAACCTCTGATGCTGTACCCTGAGAAAAGCTGAGGAATCCAAGTCCTTGATTCCATTTAATAGGCAGAGACCAGACAACATATCGTTTTTGGCAGCATGTGAGTATTAACACATTCATTAGGAACATTTAGAAATACTATTTTACATGTATAAATTCAGAAATTCAAACTATTCTGACATCATGTCAGTTAAGAAAAAACATACTTCAGTCAGTGCTTGGACATTGTTGCCTTCACACTGTGTAGTTTTATCCAGTCATCAAATACAACTGGCCGTAGATGTGTTTGCCCGGCATCTTCTTGCATGTTAGTGGTGGCTTTGTCCCCTGAGGTCGCTGCACTGATCAATTGTCCTACACACACACACACACACACATACACACACACACACACACACACACCCACACACAAACGCACACAGTCAGTTTCAAGGATCTGCTCAAAGGCACTATAACAAGAGTGGACTTGATATTTATTGATATTTCAAATCTGTTGTTGCAACAAAATCCGAATCCAATATGCTAATGCAACAAGACAAAAAGTAAAATGTGTCTTAATGGTTATGGCCTCTAATGTAATATTTAGAAACTTTAGAAAAAGTGGTAATAATTAAAAGACTGGTGCTGCCAGACCTTTCAGCTACAAATGGCAAAAAAAAAAAAACCTTTAGCTCTGCCAAAATAGAACAAATGAGTGTTATTAGTGTTCCAGTATTTTGCACGATGACGTATGACCTCTTTAAGAGCCATTTTCTGGATTCTGCTGTTTTTTTGTTGTTGTTGTTGTTTTTGTTTTTAGCTTGATAGCACAGAGCCAGAACACTTCTCAAGATGTGGTCATGGATTATTTATAAAAAATGAGCTGCACTTGCCGTCACACACACTGTGTATTACTGAGTGCAGTATAACCAGTAGAAACCAGAGCTTAAACTTACTGTAATATCCACTCCATCACACAAATTACATTTAACTTCGATGGCTGGAAGTCAGGTACTCTTACCTCTCTGTTACACATCAATACTTTCAAATGTGCATTTACACCTTCAGAATCATCACATTATCAGCCATTAGCACCTCCACATAATGAATCTCACCTTCAGGTCTAAGTCAGACTTCTGGTTACCACGAATGTCTCTCTTCCTTGTTGCAGTTCTGTCAGGGTTTTCTGAACAGAGAGGAAAAGAGAAGAGAAGAGTGCTGCTGAAGCAACTACTGCCAATAATACCACCACCATCATTACTGTCCTCCAACAGCTACTACCACCGACAGTTAATCAAGTAAAAAACATTACCTTTGATATCCACTGATTCTATCAGCTTTGAGAACTCTGGATCATCTGGTTGAGCATCATCAGACTTCTTGTAGTAATACTGTTGATCAGGGGGCCCGAACCTCTACAAACAAACACACACATAACTTATTGTACTGCAGCTTCATTATTTGTGTTGAGCTTTAAAATCGAGACACTGAAAGACCGTAATGGGTCCTAAAAGTAGAAAAAAAAGCCAAAAATGTAAACAAGTTGTGCTTATTATAAGCAATGAGAACTTATTTAAGATAGACTTTCTTAAAATAAGTATTTTGGTCACTTTATTGAGAATATTTGAACCTTAATCTAAGATTAAAAGCTTACAGTAAGACACAATTTCTTTAAAGAGCATAATACAAAGAAGTGATTTTGTCTTAAATTAAGGCACCAGGAGCATTCTTATTTTTAACATGTTTCAGTGTAACAACACAATGAAAAACAGCTTCTTCATTTATAACACTAGGACAAGACCACTTTCTCTTAAATTGAGAAGTTGTGCAAGATAAAATAAGGAAAATAATCTTGTTCCTCTGCTGGGATATTATGCAAACCATTCTTGTAACTTTTTACTGGTTAAATTTAGCTCAATATTAGCTGCAATATCTTATTAAGACGAAGTTAGATATATTTTCTTAAAACAAGATGACTTTTATAATGCAAGACATGCTTGACAAGATTATATTTCTTTTTAGCCAAAAAATAAAACAGATTTCCCAGAAACAAGGCTTTTTTTGCACTGTACACACACACACACACACACACACACACACACACACACACACACACACACATACACACAAGTATACTCTACCTTGTCAGGCCACATGAAGCTAATAAAGAGAATGATGGGAAGTCCAACAGTGAAGACATAGATACCCCAGAGCCAGGGACGCTGTTGGGTGGCCAATAGGAGGCGCTCTATGATACCTGGCTGGAATACACATGTACAGGTACATAGCTACAGTATATCCAACCGAGTGCATATAAACATACATAAATGTATAAATGTCAATCAATCATGTGATCCATAGGGGGGTAAGTAATTAAAATTTGGTTAAATAAAAGTAAAAGAATTTTCAGGCAGGAGACCTTAAAAGGTGATTGTAGGAGCAATTTCATCTGTGATTTATTTATTTGTATTTATATATCCGCGCACTAGGTGGTGAATGAGTATTGCCAGTGCATGGAGCCCTTACATTGACATTTTCAAGTGTGTCCTTAAGCTGGTACTAAGCAATAGGACAAAGTAAATGGTCCCTACACCTGAGGTGGATCAGAATTGAATTGGCCTGTTCATTTTGTTGCATGGATGTAAAGTAATTGATTGGAATTAGCAAGAAAACCAGTATTTATTTGTTTGTTTGTTTAGCAGGTCTTACCTGTGCTGCAGCAGACGCTGGTGTCACACTGGCTACCAGCATCATGCACAGCAACACAAAGCTGATCTCCATGTCTGAAATACACACCTATACGCACACACATTCACACAAGTATGTGCACAAAGTTACAGCCAAACACACACACACACACACACAATAGAAAACACACTCAGATAAGATGACCCTCAGTGAGGAGCAGAAAAAGTCATGCAACCTAGTTCTGTATATCTATTAGACTACAAAGATCAGACTGGGACAGAAAGATGAGAAAGAAGATGATAAACACAGACAGACTCTTTAGAAAGGAAAAGAAAGAAAGAAAGAAATCTGCATAGGGAAAAGCAAAGTGGGACAAAAAAACAAAGGTGATTTTTGAAAAAAGAAAGAGAACGAAGTGAGAGTAAAAGTAAGAAAAACACAGAGGAAGCTACAGAGGACCCAACAGTATGTTTCTACCTTTTTAACACACTGATTTCTCACAGTTTCCACGCGTTCCTTAAAAGTCACTTCCTGAAATCTTACAGTCATGTGATGTTGGACTTTGCTCCCAAGTTACTAACTGACATGGCTGCAGAGCGTGCAGTGGCCACACACACACACACACACACAAACACACACAAACACACACACACAAACACACACACACACACACACACACTCACACACACTCACACAGACTTCCATAGTTATAAAGTAGTTTGTCATTTATCAGGCTCAAAATAAGTGGTCAGTGTTAGGGTAGTATTTTATTTTTTTTTAATAATAAAGCTGCTAAAACGTAATGAAGTAAAGATATTTTTTGACAGGGAGTAAAAAGCATTAAAAAAAACAATCTATGAAACAGAAACAGATTCAAAGGAAGAACAGTTTTTCAAGAAAAGGTTTCCATATTTTGGTTATATAAAGCCCACTCCTCTAAAGAAAAATAATTCTGTAACCTACACCAGATAATGCTTTTGTTGTTTTATC